GGGGTTTTCGATCAACTCCCATATATATATATATATATATTTTTTTTTCCGTAGTGTGGTTTAGTAAGTTTAGTATAGAATCATAGAAGAAAAGACTGACAGAAGTGGGCCAAAAGGTGTTGACAATGATTGTTGACATGAGATTTGAGCCAGGCGAGTTGACACCAAGTTGATTTCTGACTCACACTCCTCCAGCGAGCCGAAAAAGGTGGTCACCTCCACCAGGCACCTTTTGGATGGTGGATCCTTTTGGATCGGACGGCAGCCTGGTGGTGCAGTGGTGGTGCAGTGCCTTCAACCATTCCCATCACCGCGGAGTACACCACTGGAACATCTATGGAACCGCTTGTTCGAACCTCTGGAAGAGAGTGGAGTCTTTCGATGTCTTTCGTTGTTTCGAGGAGAGGCTTGACCGGAATCATCCGTGGAATCATCCGTTTTCCCCGGCTCCAACTGTGTAGGTCCAAGACTGCAACACCTTCCCAAGTGACCTCGTCAACCGAATTAGAGGAACCTCACTCTGAGCTGTGGGGAGCGCACCCGTGAAGGGTTAACTTCGGGGCTTCATGTAGACGGTTGATTCACACACAACCTCCCCGTGAGTGGTAAGACGTCTGAAATATGGGGGGTTGATTCGTCAACAGCCTATACACGTATTCCGCATTACAGGGATGTGGAACCCATCATCAGCAATTAATGTGAGACTTTAGGTCACAAAGAGAAGATACCATTCATCTTGTGAGGGACTGCATGGGCCCCCGTCCAAGCAAGTGGCAAGATCTGCCCGAGCTCTTCTCGGACCTGCTCCGCTGGCAGCACACCTTGCAGCTCCTTCCGCCGCCCATCCTCCGCTGGCTTCGCTCGGCGGAAGCTCCGCCGCACGACCGGCGGAGCGTCCGCCGCAGCGCGGCCTGGCAGGGAGCGATGTTGAGGTGAGCGTATAGCTCTTAGGGCAAACTTGATCAATTCCCACCAAAACTCAATGGGACTGGAATATATGCCTCCCTACCTACCTGCACCCCTGTTCCACCGACATTCGTTGGCATGTCTTTGCTTATCTTGCGAGCTGATATCCACAGAACTCCACTGGTCCACGGGAAGTCAAACAGCTGCCACGGTGGGTGACTTCGAGAGTCTGTCCGACACGTTGATCTGCACAAAACGCAGGGTCTCGCTCTCTCTATGATTCTAGATGTATCTATGCATGCACACAATACATATGATTTTGATTGATTTTGTATGTTTCAAGATATTTCGAGCATAGCTCTCTCTCTCTCTCTATAAAATATGTAATTTTAATTAACATGTTTACAGTGAGCATCATGAAGCAATGGCTCAGGCCAGGAATGGAGCCACGATTTACCGGCCAGGAATGGAACCCCTGTTTTAAAGTTTAGAGATTCAAAAATCCATCACAGGAAACCACGAAACACTGGTACCAAAAGCTATGATACGTTGCGTACAAACTGGCAGTTTTGGAGAACAAACATGTTCATGACCTTTCCTTCCGGGGGTTCCAGGTGTCCGGTGTCGGTGGTTTACACGCAGGGTGAGTGATTCACAGTTTTTAGTTTGAAGGCCCCAACAAGCCTCCAAATCTAGGACAATGAGATGCAGGACACACACACACAAACATCTACGTAACATACTATGACAGATTCTTACACAGCAGCTTCATAGAACATCCTGACGTGGAGTTTGATTGATGGATGCACTCTGGCTCACCAACATGAAAAGAGGCATGGCATCGCCTCTTGAAAGGCACTTGTCCTCTGCAAACAAGAGGCTTCCATGATGGAAAGGGGTGAGATATGCTACCCAAAAATGCAAGGCGATCAAGAATGCACACAAGCTTTGCAGAGTGCAAACCATGTGCCAGCTACACATTCTGAAACTTGAAGCCAAACAACAGCAGTTGCTAGTGCACTTCACATCGCGCGTGCCTGGTTTCTTTTCCTTATTGGCATCTGCCAACCTCGGAAAAGCTGGGCTTCAAGATGCTTTCAATTAATGTCCCTTCATTCAAGCGTTTCCTTTTCAACAGCAACCAAAGACCCGAAGACCCCGCTCCGTGAAGCCAAGCAAAGTAACCCAGGAATGCAGGGTAAACTAAGCGGATCAAAAAATGAGTGGAACAGAATGGTGACCATTTGCAGGAAATTGATGTTTTCTTCTACCTCGGACCATGGTGCTTAGGATCCAACCCTATCCCAACAACATCCAACAACTATCCCCACCTGGATCATCCAATGGGTTTTTCAATGGAGATCCCTAAGTCGTGTAGGGTAGTTCATTGGATATGCATTGGATGGTCCTAGGGTAGTTCATTGGATGATATGCATTGGATGGTCCTGGTATACCAATGAACAAATAAAGACCTACTACTCTTGTCTTTTTCTTAACATCATTCCTTCAGCTCGTTAAGAGACATCAGTCAGTGCCTCTGCACTGGATAACACATGGTGCTCAGGGTGCTGAGGGTGCTTTCCTTGTGAAACCAAGCCACTCAGACAACACACACACCGAAAAGAAACACATGCGCAAGAACCGCACCCTGGACGGGTCGCTCGTCACCGGTGGGTCGCACCAGGGGGACGGGTCGGTCCAGGTGACATCCAAAAGACACATCCAGTGTTTCCACATGTTTCCACATTGTTCCACATGTGTCCACCTTCTTTGTTTGAATCTTGAAAGAAAAATCAGCTTTAGAAGGAACACGGGATACTCCATGTCATTGTAAGATATTATCAACGAGAATGTGTGATGTTTGCTTAGCTGAATCCTTTATACCGTGCTATCTCTCAGACCTGCTAGCTGCTCTTCCTGGCGCCCCCCCCCCCAGGTCCCCATGCTTCACTCGGTCCGTCCGGACGAACGATCTCGATCCCTCGTCCACCAGCCGAGCCGGTTGGGGAAGCGACCCGTGGGGAAGCTTTGAAGAGCTCCCTGAAACAAAAGAGGACATGATGGGAAAATTTTGAAAATGATGGGAACATGTGGATCTCCCCTCCTTAGCACCGTCCTGAGCGAAAGTCTTAAGTGTTTGTTCTTGCTCCATCCAGAAGATCAGATCTGGTTCATGTCTCAGCTGAGTGGCCGACTACATCGGAGCACTTGCGCTTGCTCCAGATGCTGTTGCCAGGTCTCAAATCTCGACTCACTGGGCAAGAGCCGGGCGATCTCGTCCTCGTCGCCTCCAGTTTGAGCAGAGCAACAAAGCTCCACTCGCCAGGTATACGAGACCCGCCCAAAGACGGGAAGAGCATCCCTTAGACTGGGGTAGTATCCCCAATAAACCCCCCAGGGTCACAGCTTCCTTATGGGAATCTATACGGAAAATTCAGGCCATCAAGCGGATTTTCTCGCATCCCGAAGCCACACCATGATTCTGTTGATTAGCTTACCATGATTCCAACACCCAAACGTCGTTTCTTCACATGTTGGAACGTCCCCACTCCTTCCCCCCCATCCATGGACCAGAATTGCGTGGCTCATGCACCAATCTGACTCGATCCAGGGATCACACCTGGCACCTGGTGAGATGGGTGGAACAAAGACAGCAACCCCAAGGCTGGAGGTGGCTGCTAGGGTCCCAGCTCCATGAGATCACTGAGACAAAGATAATCAAAATTGAATTGAGTACTGTTTCGTACCATCTCGGTGCGTCCATGTGCGTCCTATACATCAAACTGCACGAAAAGCTGGCTCGAGGCACACGTTTCCACTGCGTTGCATTGCGCCCGGATGGTCCTTGAGAAACTGGGGTGGATCTTCGTAAGGAACCGGTTCCGCATTAGCGAATGTGCCAACACCTCCGGCTGATGGACTGGTGCATCAAACATTTGGAAATCATTCGAACGGACCTGCAGCCTCTGTTTGTACCCTCTATAGGTTGCAACCACATTGCACTGGTCATGCGAGTTATGCCTCACACACCAGGGACACCAGCGACAAACACACCAGCTGGATCCACTTTTGGGCAAGTTAATCCCTGCAAGTCACTGGTTTGCTTGCCCAAACGTTGCAAGCGCACGATCTCATGCTTCAGCACGCTGGTCCTTCGTCGTCCCGTCTCGGCTGGTGGAAAACATCGGAAGCCCCAAATCCGTTTCAGAACTCAAAGGAATGAGGGAAACAGATATTCCAGGTATGATGTGTCCAGTATATTGTATCCTATACCCAGGGCTATAAATATTCCTAAAAAAACTATTCCAACACAAATATTCCATGAACTCACGGTATAACCTGGAATGTTGACCCAAGGTACCCCCCATGTCAAGGACCTCATTTGACACTACTGACTATTCATGAGGTTTTCAGGACCAGGTGTTACCGGGTCGGACTGGACCTGTAGCGGAAGGTTTTGAAAACTTGTGAGTTTTGCCTGCTGTGCTGACACCATGTTTCAACTCCAAATTGTGGAAATTGCTGCCGGCTTTGCCGGAGACAAACACAACAACACACACACCAAGCATTCTCCGATGGGTCAGCAATGGAGGTCCACGAGTCCTTGTAGTCGATTGGTGACGGAACGGAGGATCCAATGATCCAGGTCACGCATCGACGCATTTCTGCCACCAGTTCCACAGTCTTCCCCTCAGTTATCCTTATTTCACCCTCCATACCCCCTCCGGAGCGATGTTATGGTCCTACCACTCCAGGGCTTCCCCAGGGAGGCCCGGCGCTGCTCCCAGGTGGCCGCCCAAAGCTCTGGCTCGTGAGGGTCGCCGGCGGGCACGCGCATGTACCAGCGAAGGCCTCCCGCGAGTTCTCATGGTGAGGGCTCTCACCATCCATGTATGGAATTGTTACAGTTACTTAGCTCTCTGCGGATGGGTCATAGATATGGGGTAAGTGTATGGTAAGTGTATATGATAGTATGCCACCTTCTGACTCCTGACATCTGAATTTCGCTGTCTTTTGTGCATCTTCTGTTTGTGGGGGTTGTTTTCTCCATATTGTGCCCAGAGTGACACATATGCTATTGTCGCGTCTCACCCGGACCGCACAATGAGAGAGATAGTATATGATAGTATGCCACCACCGGGAGGGTGGTTTGTAGACCATAGACCCCCTGACAATGTATTGTCCATTGTCCATCCAATAACCACCCAAACTGGATGGATGGTTAACTTGCTCCGTTCACCTGCCGATCGCCCCCCTCCAGATCAGATGAGTCCACCCCGATTGGAACAAACCATGCCATGGGGTGTCTATTGATAGCCCCAAGATTTATAGTCCTCAAAAAGATCTTGGATTTACTATAAAGTGTTGCTTAAAGAATCGAAAAAATATAAGGACATGTAAGGACAAAAACCATCACCCTAAAGCAACACCGAGTAGACCTGAACCAGTGTCAATGTCTACTCCCCCTTGGGTCCTGAAAGAGGATTTGGACGAGCGTCGGCTCATGAACATCTCCCCGGCCAAAGCGAGCGCCACTGTGCGGTCGTAGTCCGCTGAGGGCCCAGTTACGCGCGTGTCCAGGCACATGCAGCCTGAGGAGCTCTCGATTTCGAGACCTGCGAAACCTTCCCAGTGTGGGAAAAAACGAATCCCAAACACTCCATGTATGCCGGAATTGCCTAGATAGGGCTGGTTTGGGGAGTCAATGTTGGCGTTGTATGCGGGAAAAACCATAAGTGCAAGACCTTTCTGGACCAAGGACCGAAGCACCAACCATGAACTGCCAAAACCTAACAACAATTTTGGTTACTCTCCGAGTCGCACACATGGAAGAGGATGGCAACACCTTTCTTGTATTCCCGTGGCCAATGGTTCACTTCCACGATTTCAGGGAGTGTAGGATCTTCCTCCCAACTCTTTTCTGGCTTTGAACGCTCTGTTCCGCCAGCCGTGCTGGTCTGAACAGGTCGTAATCCCCTCATATCCCGTCAGGCTGTCAGGTATTGGCCATCACAAGACAGTTGTCAGAATCTGGTCAAAATCAGATCAGAAAAGTTGGTGTAAACCTCAGACGCCGAAAACATCTTCACGAAATGCATCTGACAACCAGTTGCATCGATGACTTGAAACCGAGCTGCTGATGGCTGCCTGCCAGGCCTTTCCCAACGGCTGGAAAGCGCTGATATGCACCTCATCAGCCCGATGTTGGCTCTGATTTCGGTGCATTGACCCTTTAACACATCTAGCCATCATCCCAATCGGTCAGCAAATCCACCGACCCCGGCTAGGACGATGAACGTAAGTGTGAGCGGTGTTCCTGAGAGCGGCTCCGGTAAACGCTGGCCGTGTCCTCTGGTCCCACGTGCTCACGCCCAATAGACGCAAGTTTCCTACCTTGCATTACATTGTATTTATATATATATGGTGGTTGATCAAAATTCCTTCTTGCTGGCAGGCCATTCTTCGCGAAAAAAATACTTTCGCGAATCTTTCGCGAACTCCATGTTTAACTTTCGCGGGGGGTATACCCTCTAGAAATCATAGTGGTTCTACATAGCAGCCTAAGCACTTCCATCAAGCACCATTTTGGATCTGCAGACGAGGTTGCGGCACAAGGCAGATTGGCGAGAACTCTCAATCACCACCATTGGATGAATCAGCAGAACTGGTGGAGGACGAGCCGGAAGAGCTATCAACGGTTGTTGCGCTCATGTCTTGCTAGGTCTGTCGGACGCTGCTTGGCTTGGGCAGGGGTCCACAAAACAAACATTCACATTCGCCTATGCTTTCGCGGAACTTTCGCGAATCTTTCGCCAAAAATTGTCGCGTCATTGGTGGGTTTCTAGGCGCACAGCGTAACAACCAGTGGCAGCAGCACGAGGAGTAGTAAGAAGTGGTAGTCGTAGTGGTAGTGGCAGTAGCAGGAACAGCAGCAGCAGCAGCAGCTGCAGCAGCAGGAGGAGGAGGAGGGCATGGCTTCAAGCCTAAAAACTGCATGTATACCATATAGTATAATAGACTCTTTCGCAGATCTTTCGCCAAAAAAAAATTACTTTCACGAACTCGAGAAAAAACTTTCGCGGACAACTTGAAGAGGCTCTCAGTGGCATAGGCCTTATGTCGACCTTTCGATGGACTACCATATACAAAAACACATGCACACATTACATGTATACGTATATACATAGCACATACATTGCATACCTACATCCCTACCTACCTACATTCATCCATCCATCCTTCCATACATGCATTCAGGAAATACATTGCATACATACATACCATACATACATTACAATACATTGCAGTACAATACCTTACAGTACATTAATAGTACATTGATACATGCAAACAAACATGCATACGTTACACTACATTACCTTACATTACACTAAACTGCACCGCACTGGAGTACATCACATGACATAATACACAAACCTGCTTTCAGCAACAACGTGGCCCCAACGTGCGGAAAGCTTTGCCCAACACAGGCCCATGGGCTTGAAAAGGCGGCTGAACGTTGGGAAACTGCGAGGATCTGGGGCCCGACCAGTCTGTGTCCTCATCCTCAAGTTGGCCGGCGCCCGGCTCAAGCCTACTTTGTATAAATATCCTGCTGACCTGCTTCGTGGAGCTTTCAGTTCCCAGTCGTTTCCGGTCACCAGTGTTGCAAGAAGGAATCTAACCCACAAAGCTTCCAAAATCCTTGGTTTCGCCAGCTTTGCAAGTAAGGAAATAGCGGCTACTGTAAGTCAAACTGCCACCTCTTCCCATTTAAGCGGTGTTCAAAAATGTGTTGTCTTTTCTTTCTGAGAATTCCAGTCTTATGGTAGGTCTCAGGCAAGGCTTAGGTTCATATTAATTTTCCTTGCGGCGCCACATGTATGCAAGGTTGTGCTTACAGCCAGCTGGCTTCGAGCCCAGCTGGCTTGAAAGCAATCAAATTGTGGCAACCTTAAGGCACCGTGCTTCCGCTGCAGAATTTTTACGGCTAACCTTATGGAAACCGTACAAACATCAGCTAAAATCATGGTCTGTTTGCACTGATTTTTTCCCCGGCCCTTCTATACTAAGAATGAAGAGGTGAATTTGGAACGCTGCTTATTTGTGTGCGAAAAGAGTGGGAGATGAAGAAGGGGAGGAACGAATCTGTGGTATGAACATCCGGCTGTGATTGAAGAGTGAACATGGTTCATCCATTCATCCATTCTTCTGAAACAAACATCTTGCTGTAAAAAAAAACTCCAAGAATCTTGCTCAGGTTGGCGTCTTACTCGGGCACCAGTGGTTCCAAAGAAACTGGAACTGGTCGCCCGGCTCAACCCTGGTGGCAACATGCAGCATGTCTGTCATGTCTGGACTCAGCCCAGAAGCCATGTTCCCTACAACCCGAAACAATGGCTCGAAACATCGATGGTCAACATGGGTCCTCCAACTTTGGCGTCCTCCGTGGTCCTCCTGGTCCTGGCTGTTAAAACATCGCAAACGAGTCGGACTGTTCGCCCTGTGATCCTCACACGGCTGGTGCGGTGTGGGTAGTTAAAATTTGTTAAAACCACCCTTTCTCTGCAAGGTGCATCTTCCAACTTGTCGCCGAGAACGGCCAAGGTCTCTGCGGCCTTGGTTTGACTTCCAAACCGTTGCAGTGAAGACGTGGTCAAACATGTTATGGTAGATAGATCGGACTGAACAAATTCCAAGCACTTCTGGACAACTTGTGGATTTTGAGTATTTCTATGGTATGTGGTTTTAAAGTTTAGAGAAATCATAGCGTATCTTGCTTGAAAACAAAAACAAATCAGACTGAGACTTAGGTAGTTCTGAAGATTTCTTCTTTACTGACTATTCCAAAATGTATTGTGAATATGTTGTCCATACCAAATTGCCTTCCTCATGGACATGTAACATGCTCGGTAATGACGTTGGTTTCGTTTTTCGCTTCAGCAAAGGTTGTTTGGACATCAGGTAGATGGGTGCACTATCAACCAAAGTTGGGCGCACCCATCCAATCATAAGAGAAAAGAACACCGTCAAATTGGGCCATCAAATCAAAGTAGTAGGGAACTTGCACCAGGCTGCGCAGGTGTTCCGGACCGTGGTGAGGCTATGGTCAGCGCCCCAGCAGCTATAGACTCAAGGAAATAAAAACGCCCTGGCCCCAATGAGTAGACTAGTCTATGTTCCTTCTTCCTGTGGGTCGTTGCCTGGGAGGTCTCCCTATTTTGAGCTATACACACGTGGAACCCCTTGGACGGACGCCGAGCCGACCACACGGTGTTTTTTTTGGGGCGGTTCGGCGCGCAGCGAAACACGTTCGGGTATGGTAGGTATGATGTCATTACACAGAAAGATGGACAATAATATGGTCAGCGCAATGTACACGAATTAAGACGTACGGTATCATGTGGTGTGGTATTTCAACATGTATACACGGTGTAACTATATAAGGAAAATGCAAAGTGAATTCAAGGCGATCTTATGCACAGGCAAAGATATGGTATCTACAGGGCGCTTGGCACGACATAACGGCGTGAATTCTGTTGCACGTAGTTCTACAGGTTTCGTACCTGACAACTGTTGCGACTGGGCTTAAAGTCTTTGAACAACACACGAAAAGGTTGCAGCTTCTGGCCTACGAGTCTAGGTGGCAGCTACCCAATCTCAGCAGAATTTATGTCTTTGGGTCCAGTTCAACCTTCACCAGGCATGCGGATTGGCAGGAGCATGCCGGTTGCAGGCCCCGGATGAGGCCCATTTGCGAAGTACAAAAAGACACATACAGTTTTAGCCTGTGCACAAAGGACAGGGTGTGGCTCCACAAAATGAGGGTCTTTGAAGATCCATCGTCGCGCATCGTCAAACGCCCGAGTCGACTCGGGCCCTCCTCACCTGGATGGCCGGAAGCCTTGCTCCAGAGTGAAGCTCGTGCTCGCGCATCTGATTCCCAGAACGCCTGAGCAGTTTGGACTCAGGTGTCAGGAGAGAAAAACTGGGACTATGTATGACTATACATGTTGAGTGTATATTTATACATATCATTACATGCTAATATACATATACGTGTGTACATCTCCCATATGGTTGCACGCCTTCCTCAAACAGGTGATCGTCTTTCTTCCCGACTGCCTTGCGTTACTCTTTCTCAACAAAAAGGCATCTAAGACTCTGAGGCGACTCCGCTATCCGTGTGAAACGAAAACAAAAAGAATCGTTTACCATGTGTTTGCCACCCTAATGTGTTTACCATGTGTTTACCATCGTTTACCATGTGTGTTACGATGTATCCGATATATTTGACGATCCCGGATATCCTAGCATATCCTAGCTATCTTCTGAATCCCGAAATGAAATAGCTCCCGCTGTTTGCGGTTGGAGCCCACAGACCTCGGCCAATTCGTCGAGGAGGACAACCCATCTGGACCCCGCATGCTGAGTTTCAAAACGTTGCATACAAAGCAAATCCTTTTCCCGATCAAATGCATGCACGCACTGGTCACAATCATGGTATTGTACGTCATAATTCAGATCCAACAAGTGCTCTCATCCGCCTTGAGGTGAAGACATAAATGACCACAGTTTCAATGAAGGGTCGCAAACGTGTCGTGACTTTCGTTTGTGGACCACACCTTCGTAACCTTTTCTTTGACATGTAGGCCATTGAATCATGGTCTCGAGGAGAGAAGGCATTAGTCCTCACCTGAACAACATCTAATGAATCTAATGCTTGATGAGCAACCCTCCATTTGGATTGAACAACCCCTTTCTCCTCTTCATATGTTTAAATGGTTTTTTACGGGTATTGAATCTATTAATCGACTGTCTACATGAGTCCTCAAAACAATGCGGAACGAATGACCGACGGACCGCCTCACTTCCTCCACAGGATCCTCCGGGAAGAACAATCGCTCCAAAGCCTCCACCGGGTGGCGGCGAACGGGCGGCGCCAACCGCGGACTGCGCGCCGTCCGGACAGATGGGGTGGAACACAGTGGAACACCTGCAAAACCAACCCAGAAGAGGTGGGACGCAGTGGCCAATGTCCAAAATGAGCTGCTGCAAAGTGATCTGCATGCAAATGAATTTGGACATTTGATGCCTACACCATTGCTTGAAAGTCAATCTGTTGGTCAAGAGACAATTTTTGTCCATTTACACTTCAAGGTCTGGGTGTGGATCCGTTTTTTCTCTGCTTAAACCTCCCATTCCCCTGCTTGAAACCAAAAAAAACCTGGGGTTGTCATATTCATCGATTTCCGTTGTGTTCAAAACGTTGACTTCATGGGGTCAGGGCTCAGACACCTGCATCGACACCTCTTCCAACTAGATGCAAAATGTCTGCCAGTTCATTCATAAGCCATAAAACACCTCGAATATACTTTGGGTAAACCCACTACTAGTAATTAAGAATGGCTGATGATGATGCTGATGATGATGATGATGATGATGATGGTTAGTAAAGGCCTTCTTCAAAAAAGTGATACTGTAATTGTTTACCAACTGTTCCAGGTCAATGGACAAACCCTACATACATATATATAATTAGATACTCCAATTATCTCCTTATAAACCACAAAACACTCGTTGGGTATCGCAGGTCTCTTCTCGGCGATCTGCGGGGTGTCCAGGTCGCCTGCTGCGCGGCCAGCTGCTTGGCATCCTCCCGCTTCACCGCCAGGCCGGCGCCCGCCACGAAGCCGCAGTGGTGCACGTCACACGCGACCAGCGCGAAGAAGCGACCACGCTTCCTGGCAGGGAAGGTGGCTGGGCAGGTGCTTCAAAAGCAACTTATGTTTTCTGTTTTTTTGTTTTAAAGCAAGCCAGTGAAAGAAATGGACAGGTGTTATGTTCTGTATAGGAGCAGAAGGTGTTCTGAAAGTAATCAGAAGACACTGCTTGTGCTCTTCAATGTACTGCTGGATGGTATCATCTCTGTTGTTGTTTTGTTCACGCGATATTGAAATTCCCGAAATGGATTCGGGCACAGCACCACTGTTCCACCACATTTTGCAGCTTGGAAAGGTTTTGGATCAAGGGAGGCCTATTCGACTTGGTCAGTTCCTCCAATGGATTGTGGGGGTGGATCTTGGGTGAGTAGTGGGACACTCCCTATTTCCCTCCCCGACTAAAGCTACGAATCGGATCCTAAGCATGTATCCTTGAATGGTTACCATGCTTACCTAAGCAAACATGTCTCATCAAGCGTCATGATTCAGTTCTCTACATCCATTTCCAATTCTACCGTGTTTAAAGGCATGACATCCCAACCCGCAATCCGAACCCCCCATCAGTTCAGCAAGGGACAATTGCTGGATGGTGTAATTGATGTCGTTCAACTCGCCCTGACCGGCGGTGGATTCGGGGAGTTCGGGAACACCGAGAGTTGGGACGAAGTCACTTGTATAACTAAGATCCTCATGCAAAAGCCTGGGACGGATGGGTCGAAAGAATTGAGTCCCTCAGCTCAAATGTCTTGAGAGTATCAACCACTTTTGCAGGTCCCTGGACTCCTTGCGAAGTCCTGGAAATCACTCCAATTGACGAAGGTTGAAGACTTTCAGCTTGTATTTGAACAAAATACCCCAAGGGCCCTGCCCAACCTTCGACCATTGAAGACCTGGCCATCGACCATCACCGTCTTCCGTAGGTCAGGGTGACTCCAAAGGATCAATAGCAGTAAACAGGGGTTCATTCGGGTTCATTCACTGATTGGCTGTTCACTTGGGGATATACAAGCTTCTATCAATCAAACAACCAACCAATAGTAAAAGGCCATCTAGGCGGCAAGGACATCAAAATATCAAATCCTTGTCAAGCCCGACCCTTTGACAAAAAAGCATGTTCTCTTAGACCCGCTGACAGAGGCTGCCTACTCAGGGCACCTTGGACCAATCATGACAAACTAATTGAATTGCGGAGGTTTCATTTTAATTTTTCTGGAAACATGTGAAACCCGTGCGACCTCGACAATCTCCCCCGCGATCGGAGTGTTGCATGCAAAGATTGGAGTGGTCATACCTGAGTGTTGCAGCAGGTGCATGGAGTTTGTTGCATTCAAGTGGGATGACCATGAGCAGTCCATCTGATCCCATGATGATCATGATGTCAATGATGGGATCGGATTTCGTGATCGGATCGGATCCGCGCTTTAGCAGCACCATAAATCGGATGAACTGCTGATAAAGCCATCCCCAAAACTCCATGGGACGGGAAATATGCATATTCCAAAAATGCCTACATTTACACCTGAAACCACGTCATTGCTTGTGTCTTCGCGGGGTTCTCCACTCACGAACCAGAAAAGCGAACTTTCTTGAGTGCACAGTTTATGCATATCTCTCTTGGGTGTCCACATTGCATGTCCACTGTCGTACACCCTCTTTGGTGCTAAAAGAATGCTAAAACCAGGCGTCAACCAGTCTTCTTCACCGCTGACCAGCTTTGCCATGATCCCTTGCTCTCATAAGGTTTCGAAAAACACTCTGGTCAAACGCCGGCTGTGTCTGCGGCGACTGCCACTGAGGTGACTGATTCAAAATTCATCAACACAGCTTGGCAGAAATCGAAAAAGTGAACAAACAAACCTCGCATCCGAAACCTAGATCGCCCAGGTCTTGGCAGAAACATCAGAAATGGAGAAAACGACCATCACCTCGGCCCTGCACACCCTTGGACTCGAAGCCCACATCTGCTTCTCGCCTTGGTTCTCCAGGCTTCGAGCTGGTCCTTGGGACCGCGAAGCGGTGAGCGGAGCTTGTGAGTCTCATCTATTAGATCCACCAATGAAACACGGTGAAGTCATAGGCGTGATATGAGCCCCATCTACTAAAGTACAGTATATATATACTTGAAGCTCACTCGTGGTGGAAGTTTGACACAAAAGCAATGGATCTTGGAGCTATTCTCAGCATGTTGATAGATCTTGGGGCAGGCCCAAACATGCATGTAATGCATATCGTGTTGGCATTTGTATCACGCTCGAAAAATGATGCAGCGAATGCCTGGAAAACGTATTTTACATTGTCAGCAGGTCCAACAATCCTTCGTCCTTCAGCCGACCATGTGGAGCATCCAAAACCCAAACCTTCAATAATTGAATACAAGAATCAATAAACTCAACCATAGCTATGGACGGCTCCTTACAATACACAATGCAGTAAGTGGTCGTTCATGCGCATTGACTCCTCTGAACAAACATAAGTTTTCACACCTCTGACTACTCCAGAACAGTGCTTTCTACACTGGATCTATAGATTCTCACTGGACCATCAACCCAACTTGGGCAAGAGAAAACTACTTCCCAATCCTCCCCCAGTGAATCCTAGTTACCACTATATATGAAACAACCAGTGCGCCGTGACGGTTTCAGTCTTTGGAACTGCGAACGTTCGTGGGAACTGCCTAGAACCACTCCGTCTCAAGCCATCCACCAGGCCCGATCTTCACCCGGGGTCACTGGTCACCGTGGGGCCAGGTCACCGCGATCCGCCCCCGATGGGCCCGATCGGCCGTTCCGCCGTCCGATCTGCAGTGGAGAAGGTCCTTCTGCTTCCGATTCTGCGGCCGATGGGCAAAACTGAGCTTCCGGAATTCCATGGAATCCTTCGTAGATCCCTAATTATAGGACCACAGCAGGCTGTAAGTTCAAGCACAATTTGCCTTTTTTGGGGGTGGTTGGTTGGTATATAAATATATATAGGTTTTCTCACCTACTTGTCATACCTCTCATAGTTCCACTAGTTCCTCTTTCCAGGTCTCCACCGACTCATGTGAGATGTGCTCGAAGTGAACCTCCATCAAAGGCCGCAGCTCAGCATAGTCCGTCACCCATGGATCAGTGGCGTACTCCAAATACTTCACCTAGCGCCAGCGATGGAAGGCTCCAAAGGTGGGCGGCACCCAAAAAGAGGGTCTGACAGCTTGAATGGGCAAGCACAAGTAAATAAGGAAGGAAGTAAGTAAGCAAGCAAGTAAGGGTGTGGGTGTGGGTGTTTGTTTGATGGAACAGTTCAACGGATTGTGCAAACAAACAAGGTCATGGATGAATGGACTTGGAATAATCCGACCAGTTTCTCTTTGACTTGCTTGAGGAGGCACAAAGGGGAAAACATCGCAAAGTGAGGGAATAGGTAACATTAACATGTCTTCCTCGTCCTACAACAGAACATCCGGCGCCCCCCACAAAAGGTCTCTGAGAGCCTGGCCACTAGCGTCATGCACATCTGCATGGCTCCTTTTTTCCACCATGGGGCACTCATATCAGTCCTTGAACGCTTTGCCAAGTGGAGCCAGCTCATCCCATGCCCAGCTTCACTCTATGCTTTGCTGGACATGCGGGCAAGACCATATTGCTTCAAAAGCTCAAGAACATCATGCACATCGGCCATGTGAAGATCAACATAGTCGGGATCCATGGACTCTGAAGTTGGGATGGGTTGGGATTTCAAGGCGACCAATGGACCTCTCCACAAGGCAGCATGCGCTGCACCCAGCGTGTCACCCTCGTAGAGAGCTCCAAAAAGCTTGGCGATGCAAGCGTTCTCTGCTGATCCATCAAGCATGAAGCTATCACGGTAGCGCAAGTGGATCGGCTGTGCCAAATGAGCGATTGGCTGTCCCTTCAAGAACTGGCTACAAATGCCTCCAGCAGACTCGTCATCTCCAAGGTATGGATTCAAAAAGGGCAGGTGTACTACCCGGTATACCCCCTCATCCATATCATCGTCAAGATGCTTTTGCAGCTCCACGTGGATGATGCGCGGGTGCTTCTCCTTCTCTGGGAGCAACATTGCGGTCACGCGCATGCCGGCTGGCTTGCTTGGGAAAGGGTGAAGAGAACAAAACGCCTTGTGAACCCTCCACTCCTTTCGTTGGCACGTGTCAGAACAATAGGCTCTAGACCCACACTTGCCACATCTTTTGGTGCCAGGCTTCCTGCACATTGGACAGGCACCTTGGCGAACTTGAGCAAGGCTGCTGGTCACATGCGGCTTTGGCACCCTCAACGGCAAAGACTCAACCTCCTCCTCTGTGACTCCAAAACGCTTCAAGTACACTGCCATAGTCTGGTCATCCACTTGGGTTCCAAAGCCGAATCTGCCGGTGTGAAGATCCAAATAGCAACCCCCGCCATCTCCAGGACCGACCTGGTGTGTGACATCGTTCACTTCCTTGGAGGCACTGCTATCGTACCTGAGGCGTTGGTCGTAGACGGAGAGGAAGACGTTCGCGAGGCCGGGATCCTCCTCATAGCCATAAGCCACCTCGATGGGATTGCCCGGAATGACAAAGCGAGGCATGGCGGACCAAGCGACTGATGGACCGACTGCTCAAGCCGATTTCCATGGAGCAACACGTATGGTGAACCAACTCCAAGAGAGAATTCCAAAGGATTGTCTTTGGAGCAAAGGAGTGCATCGTCTGGGAATTCTCCTATGTTCCCTTCATTCATTCCGACTGGTACGTCTGGGTCCTGGACCGTCTGGGTCCTGTGGGTCGAAAGATGTAGAAGACGTGGGTTTCATGATGTCCAAACAACAGGAAGCAATCCAGAAAATGGGTTCAAGAATGTTCAAGAGTAATTTACGTCGCTTTTTTTGTAACGCATCAAGACCTGTCAGAATAATACACATAAGATCAAATAACATATAAATACACAGGAGTCTTCCTGATTCTTCCTCATCCCCTGCCTCATAAGGACGGTTCGGGCGCTCTGTTTCCTACACCTCCCACCACTGTTTCCACAGTCTTCACTCCTCCCGTGCTGGCTAAGACAAGCCAGGCTGGCCAAGATGGGTTCCGAACTTTTCAGCTCCTGCAGCAAACCTTTGATCTCTCTCCTCAGCTGCCAAGAAACGAGGACGATGACTCATGGCATCTCATGGCCACCCACCCGCTCCACCCACCGCCACCGAGTGGTGGTGTGTTGGAGTACGCAAAACATCGGCAAAACAGGCTTACCAGGAAGAACTCTGGGTGGGTGGGGGTCAACCTTTCTTGGTTGCAGTCATCATGACCAAGAGATCTCAAGATTTACCTTTGACAGCAGCTTTCCCACTGTTCAGAGTTGAACTGAGTCAAAGAACTGGCAGAACGCTCCTGGACTCTGTGGCTCGGATCATGCGGTCATATACCAAGGGCCAAGGGGATGCAGTAACAATTCCTGGCGTTTCGGGCAGAGCTCACTCATTGTCACTTGTTCATATTGCATGATAGATCTAGGGTATCCGTTTCATTCAGTTTCCTGAATCTACAACAGTTCAACATAACCAAGGTGAGTAGTGCACATTGATATGTCTTGTGAGATATTGGGAGAAGGGGAACCAAAGCACACTTGCGGGAAACCGAGTTGATCCTGACTTTAGCAAATGATCAACTGCTCTAATTTAAAGAACCAAACAATGAACGCCCTCTTTGCTTGCCACACCATTGCGGTTCAATTGAACTCACTCAGTGGAACCATCATTTACACTAGAACTGCCTACCTGTGGAAACACAGGGCCCGCCGGAAACGATTGCTTGCGTTTGCTGTCGTTGTTTGACCTGTTGGTGTTTGTCGTCTGTTGCTGTTGTCCCTTTATTGCTTCGCTTTTTTGTTTCGCTCCCGTTTCGGTTGATGGAATCAGTGAGTGGACCTACAGCTACGGAACAGTTACTGTATATATCCCAGATCGATCTTACTGAACACACATTTTCTGGAAACGTTTGGGTGTGAAGCTTTCCGCAACAAATATTCCCTAGCGAGTTGAAACTATTCCAAACCTTGTGGATACACTGGAAGCTGGGATATTCGACCATGGCCTCAGTCCAGCTCATGACCGCCCAAATAATATCAAGAAAAACAAATCCCTTTCAATTAAATATTGAAAAGCGTGTCCTTATCTATTTGAAGACCACAGTAGCTGGTCAAAACGATTCAGTCTGTCCGAGGCTCTTGGGCCATTTGTGGATGGTCCCTGTCACAGGCGCTGCCGGCGCTTCAGCTGTGGTGGTCAAGCCTCTGACCTGTGGTCAATGATGGCCAATGGCTCAAGAGCCCAGGGTACCCGAGTCGAAAAATCATGGTTGTGTAGAGAAATAGGGACCCCCCTCCCAAATCCCAGGAACAAACATGTACACCACCGGGTTTGATTCGCACACCCACATGAATCTGTTCTTCAATCGGTAATGTTGGTAAGCAGAGACGGCGCCTTTCTGGATCTTTCTGGGATCAGTTCGACCATGACCGCTGCGAATTCCATTCTCTTTTGGAAGTCACCCATCTGCAGGGTTCGACCGAGCCGGCGATGATTCGAGTCAGAAGCGATTCCAAAGGCATCGGAAGCATCGGAAACACCGACCAAAAGGACTCTCATGTTGAATGCAGTGCAAGACTCCTTCTCTGAACGGTCCAGGTTTAAAACGGGGGAGGTTGTTTCAGGTAGTTTCTAGTTTGCTGACAGTGCTCACGTGCGGGATTCTCTGGCTCGGTGGGGCATTCCATGGGAGCATTCCATGAGCATTCCGCATTCAATCTGCTTGTAGGTGGAACCACTCAACTTCACCCAAAACAACACAACCAACACCATCCAATACTCAGCAGGTCCCCAGCAGAATCGACCTTTCTGATTCCGGGCTTTCAGTGGGGTATCCTCTCAAACCCTAGAGGAGTCGGTGCAAGTGCTGGTATACCCAGCCCCGCCATAAAAGAATTCGGAACATGATCGCATGATCTCATGACCTCCCCAACGTCACGTCGGAGATTCTGCACGACCTTCCGGTCACCAGCTGAGACAGACCCTTCGCCCCTTCCCTTCTTCCGCCCAGCCGCTTTGGTCAGCGCCACTCCAACGCCCACGGACCCCGCCGCGCGACGGGGTTCCCACGAACCACTCGGGCGCGTGCTCCGCGCGCGGGTGCTCCGCGGCGCGACGCTCGCGGCGCTGGCGCGGGGCGTCAAATGCAGCGGAGCCGTGCGTGCACAGGTGGTCCACATGGGGCGACGGGAAGTCTGTGTCAAACCTCAGGGCTTGGTGTGTATGCAATCTTGATATACGCAAGGATCTCTATGCCATCTTTCGTGATAAGGTCATATAGTATCGTATGTTCTTAGTGTCTTGATGTTCTTAGTCGTAGCATGTGTGGGTTCATGCGATGTTTGGCGCCAGGTCTTGATCAAGTTGCGGTTCCACCTTGCTTGGTCCGGGTTTGGACTGGGCAAATTCCAGTGCTTCTGGAAGCCTCTGTGAACTGGGATGCTTTACATTTATATCTGCGGTCAAGTCTATGCTGATTTTTTGGCATCTGTTGTCTCTACTCAAATCGCTTTGGTTCCAATTCCACAGCGCCCCATGCAAGCGCTTGCAAGCACGCTAAACAGCTCCCCACTTATCAGCTGAATCAACATCTGTGGCACGCAAATCGCTTCGTCGGTCTGGCACTGTCTCGTGACATGAATCTTCCTGTCTCATCAACTTCCCTCTTCGATGTAATTTGATGTCATTTGGTGAAGCCAACGCTGGCGAGAGACATCATGAGACCTGGCCAATAGATCAATATGGTGACCCAGGACAAGAACTTGAAGAACACCAAGGGATCCACATGACATCTACAAAGCATTACAAGAAAAGATTCAGCACAAATCATGCTGGAGAATGATATGTTCTGTCTTCACAAAAGCACGTCCCCTTCATCACACACAGTACAAAGCCGCTGTCAACAAGCTTTGGTGCTTACTAATTACTTAGGACTTATCGGTGGAACCTTCACCTTCAGTCCACCTTTCATGCATTAAACAACCTGTGAAGGTGACAGTGAATTCCAAGAATCGCATCTGATGTTCACCAACCCCTTTCTCTTTCTGTCCACTAGGGGTTGAATCCTGGTGTGTCTGGTGCGCATGTCACAAGTCCAGCTACCTACAGTAGATTTAGAACAAACTGACCAAACAGGAACCTCGTGTCGGATTTGTTGGGCAACCAACCCTCTTCCCTTCTAGTTCTCAAAATGAAGTAGAATAAACCCAACCATCAAGATGCCTTTCATTTTGACCTCTGGCACATTGAAAACACTCCTTGAATCCATGTATCGAACACTCACCTACATTGACCCCTGAAATGCCCAATGGATAGGTAAATATTCCATATACATACATACATACATACACACACATAATACACATATTAAAATATAATATTATATGAACATGGAGTATCTGGCAAATAGATTTGGTCGAAAAGTCAATGGGCGGCAGGTGCAGTGTCGTGTGTGTGTAGTCTCTTTTGGTTTAAGAACCTTATCCTGGATACGGTGCCATCTTGTGCGCATGCTGCAGCATGAGCCTATTGACTTGGTGGCCAAAGAAGTCAACCAAACATCCTCCAACGATTTGACCCCTCTGCCCCTTCTGCCACACAGTAAGACCAGTAAACCGCTAAGGGGTTCACATCGCGATCTGCTGTGAGGATACGCGTCGACCGCTGTGGTGATTCTTTGGGCCTGGAACTGACTGGGCATCTCGTTCCCAAACACTCTATCGGCTTATGGCACATGACTCCATCTCCAGGGTCCCCAAACAAATGTGCGCATGGGTGAACAAAAGGAATTGACTCAATTAACATTGTACATGATCTTCCTTTCATGTAGACCCTTGATTCACAAAACTCTCCCCATGAAGAGGTTTTACAATCCAGGCTGCTGGGCTCAAGGCCTTAAGCCTGAGGGAGTGCCGAGACCCCAGGGTCCTGTAGCTCTCATTCAATTGAGAGGGCAGGACGTCCAACAAGGCTTAGGCCATCTCGCTTGTGACCGTGAGTTGGCCTTTGTCCTTGTTGATACGCGCCATGGATCCGTGGTTGGATGTTCTGCAGATGGCCGACAAGATGCTCACCCAGCATCGCCTGGCTGCATTCAGGGAGTTCCTCCATGCACATCGGAGTCGCTGCCCCGGTCCGGTGATCGAGGGTGCGATGTGCATGGTTGGCTACATCGTGTCCATGTGCTCCGACACCATCCAGCTGCAGCGGAAGCCTTTTATCCCGTGGGAAGGCTTCGTGACCTCCGTCGACAATGTGGATAAGGTCAAGGTGACAATCCCCAAGCTGGGACGAAGACCGATCAAACTCCATGTGGGTTCGGAAATCATCATCCTTGGCAAAGCTGTGGATCATGGAGATCAGCTGTCCTTTGGTGAGGAAGCAATTCTTCTGCACAGGCCATGCTTTGATCGTACCCTCCCATTCAACGCATTGCACCTCTTTGCAGGTGCTTTTTGTGGATGGGCTAGAGCCCTTGGCTGGTTGCATGATCATGTTGATGGAGTCGCATGTGGCTCTCAAGTGAGCGTTGATGCTGATGCTATGGTGCTGGAGACTTGGTCCAAGCAGCATGGATATGAACACTATGTTGGAACTACGTCCCCGTTGTCAGCTTGGGACCCCACCGAACACATCGGCATTTGCACTCAGGTCAGTGACAAGACCTTGCTACGACGCTGTCTTTGGCCGACAAATGTCATTTCCACAGTGTCTCCACCGTGCGTGTCCTGGTCCAGGGGAGGAAAGCGAGAAGGATTGAACTGCACGCCAGGCTTTGCTGCTTTCGATGCTGTACAGACACTTGAAGTTCAGCAACCTTTGCTGATCTTCTTCGAATGCGCAGATGAGGTGATGTCCCATGATCACTTCCAATTATTTAAAGCAGCCCTCCGAATCATTGGCTATGAGCAAGTGTGGCAACAGGTCGTTCCTCTCAACAACCTCACGCACAACTCCAGGTCTCGCTGGCTCGCCGTCTGGCGGCGAAAGGACTTCGCATGTGATCCCATTCATGCCACGGTCATCCCACGTGCACCACCCTTGACTTGGTGGAATTCGGTCCTCAATCAGTTTTGGGCCCCTGATTGCATTCGAGAGCAGCTAATTCTCGATCAGCATGCCATGTCAAAGTACGGTGACCCACAATTACTGCCACCAGCAAAGAGAGCCCGACTCCAGTCCGGCACGTGCAATGAGGTTCTCTCCAAACGCATTCCTCCGCCAGGAGAGCCACTGCCTACCTTATGCAGTTCGTACACAACGCAGCACCACCTTGCTGTCGACCACCTGACCGACAAAGGAATCTTCGCATGTCTCATTAAGAGTGGGCCGGATTTTGAGTTTCTGAGCCCCTTGACTTTCGTGCCATTGCTGGGTACCACTGACCGCATTGTCCTGCCGTGTTCGGTCCCACAAGCTTTTCACTTTTTAGGCAATGCGATAGCGCAGCCACACGCACTCCTTGCCTTGTCCATCGGGTTCATTGCTCTCAAGCTGACCCCTGTCACCTTGAGTCAACTCATTCGTGATTCTTGGAATGACCGCATGACATCAGCCAATGCCATCGTGCACAAGCAAGGTGAATGGATCACAGTGCAGAAGTTTGATGAGTTCCTCAAGGGTCTGACTTTCGGTTCTTCCTGCTGCCTCAGCCTGAGAAAGCTTACACGTGTGTACGTCTTTCCAAAATGACCAGTCCTGCATCCAGAGATACTAGCGTTCTTTCACAGGCCACTCTGCATGACACAGTCCGCCAGATTCTGTCTTTCGGAGAGATTGATGAACGTGAGGTCACTTTCGCTTCCACCGCTGGTGACATCCCAGGCCATGCCATCATCTCCCATGTCCTTCGACAGAATTCGACCATTATATGCAAATGGCGTGAGCGCATCTTTGCAGAGCTCTCTACTGGAGGACGGCTGTTTTCCGAGGTCATTCCACCTGATGAGGAGGTCTCTGCTACCATCCCCTTCACTGCTTGTGAGGAGGAAGCACCAGCTGACATTGTGTGTGGATCCATGACCTTTGAGCAGTTGCGACAAGTTCCAACCTTTCTCGAGGCCCTCACCTTCGTTGAACAGCACCACAAGCAAATGAGAGCCTGTGAAGATGTGACAGTCTCTGCTGCACTTGCATGGGAAGCACCGGCAATGGTCTTCAACATTCAGATTGTCCGCGATGATCCAATTGGGTGCCTGCAAACTCTGCTTGATCAGCTTTTCCCAAGGAAGTACCAGGTCTACATCAGCCCGGTCAAGCTACCCCGTGTAGCCAATGGACCCCTCATCCTGGTCAGAGAGTTTGACCGTTCGTCTGATGCACTCGTCCTCATCACAAGCAATGCTGATGCAGTCGGTGTCCATGTCAAGACTGTGCCTCGGTCGCTTTCTGCGGCCACTGTGTGTGTGCTGCCTGCTGGTGCGCCTCTTGATGCACAACTACCACCCGATCGTTGAAAACAGTGTCTACTGCCATACTGGGGATATCTTGACGGTCGCAAAAATTGAAGCTCCAGTGCACGCAGGCGGGCACCACCTCGCTGATCGTGTCGATCCACTACAATCAGGTGCCTCGTTCAGCCAACGAGCTCAATTCTCAGCCAGAACACATGGATGGGCAGCGTCGGATGAACTCTTGGCCGGTCTTGGCCTCTTGCAGCAACTTGCCCCTGAATTTCTGCACTCTTTTGGCATTCAGATGTGGCGGCCGGGGCTCGTCGAGTTCGAGGAAGGACCTTTTGGGGAGATGCATTTTGCCCCTACTGGGCTGTCCTGTCTCATTCTGCTAGTCGGAGCGCATTCGGCGTCTTGACCGTGTTCGCATTGCCGTGAGTGGTTTGCCCCAACATGCAGCGCAGAGGGTCGCCATGATCACGTGCCGTCTCTTGGATGTAGCGCCACATCGCGCCGCTTTGGACTTTGGTTTTGTGCAGGCCACGCCACATATGTGTGGTTGGACTATCCTCTTTCGCCTATTTGCCAGAGCGGAGGCCTTGGATTACTTGCCTGATCAGAGCTATTTGTGGTCCATCTTGACTCCCAACGAGCAGAACATCATCAACCAGGTCCTTGCTGCCTCTCAGAACCAATGGCTTGCAGTGAGTCAGGATGCTGCGTTGCGTGGTTTTGCATACAACATGCGACTCCAGTTCTTCATTGGGCTTGCCCTTCAGGCTCGGAATGTCGATGCTGTCACCACGCATCCTAT